GGAGGAAGAGGGGTGCATCAGGCCAGCCTGGGCCGGGCCGCCCCTGTCCCCAGATGGCCCCCCACGCCCAGGGCGCAGGCACAGGAGGCACTCACGGTCCTTGGGCTGCTTCTCCTCGGCCGTGAAGATGACGGCGCCGCCTGGCTTCTCGGGGTGCGGAAAGGGGTAGCCGTTCTCCTTGAGCTGGGCCTCGGAGAGCAGGTACTCCTTGAGGCGGCTGTACAGGGCGGCCCCTGGGGACAGGGGCGAGGGGGTCAGCCCCCAGCAGGGCTGGGGCTGGACCCAGGGGCCGGGGAGGGTGGGAGAGCCTCCAGGGGCCGCACCCGGAGGAGCCAGGCTCACCTTTCAGATCCTCCACGCGGGGGCTGCTGGGACGGCTGAGCGAAAAGCTAGTCTTGGCAGCCAACTTGCCCCCCAGCACCACTTCATGGGACACCACCCTCCGGCCGCTGGGTTCTGGAAGGTGAGGGGAGGGTAAACGAGGTTCAGACCTCAGCCCTCACCAAGTGCTTCTCCACCCTCCTCCAGAAGGGGACGGCCTGACCTCCTGCGACCTGCACTCTTTGGGGAGCAGCAGGCTGCCCGGCAGCCCCTCCACCACCCCTGGACCCCCCGGGAGTCTTCACCCCTTGGAGAAGGAAGGGAAAGGACTCCACACAGGCTCTGACGGCCACCTCGGGCGCTGTGTGCAGCTGCCTGCCAGGGAAGCAGGCCAAGCCGGAGAGCAGGCAGAGTGGACAGGCGCTAAGGCATCCTTCGAGAGGGCTCAGGAAATGCCCCCCCTGCCTTGCGCTTTGAAGAGGCCCCCATTAGCGGTGGCCCTCGGCTCGCTGAGGAGAGTGGTTAACAGCGAGAGGAGGCTGTTCTGAGGGCATGGGCCCAGCGTCATCCTGACAGGAGCCTGGCAACCGGGTGGCCGGCCGGCAAGCAGAGCCTCTGTCTGACAACCTGCCGGTGGCTCGGGGAGGGCTGGGCCCCGGTCCTCCAAAGGCGACTTACTGTTGAGACCAGGCCCGGTGCCAGGGCCCAGGCCGCGCAGCTTCTTGAGGGTGTTCACGGCCACGTTCAGGTAGATATTCTTGCTGGGGCTCCGGTCGTAGGCCACCTTCTCCTCGTTGAGCGCCTGCAGGGGGGCACTCGGCTCAGCCCCGCCCAGCCCCGCCTCCCACCAGCCCCGCCCCACGCACCTTCTCTATGGCTTCCTGGTTAGAAGAGCAAAACTTGAGGCACTCTTCAATGAACAGGTTGAGATAGCGCTGGCGGATGACAGTGGGGACTTTGCCCCCGAACTCTTTTGGGATAACAGGCTTCTTTAAACTCTGGGGAATAGAGACCAGCAGAGTGTGGCACGCTCCCGCCTGCACCCCGCTCAGGGTCTGCAAACTGAAACTGCTCGACGGAATAAGGCTACGGGTTAAATGGAAACAACAGGGGAGCAGGGAGAGGCAAGCTAAGCAGAGGGCTCACCTGTAAGGATGGACTGTGCGCCACACGCTTGGGGGCCACGGTGGCAGTAGTCTTGGACGCCATGCCCGACAACGTGCGCGTCTTCAGGGGCTGGCTGCCCGGCTCGGGGCCACTGGGGGGCTGGCTGCTGCTGGCCGAGAGGGTCCTCTTGGCACCTGTAGGGGCTGGAGGGGGACAGGGGACGTGAGTATGGGAGGAGAGCACGCCCATCACTGAGCTGCAGAGCACCAGGCAGCTGCGGCCGTTCAGCGCCAGCAGGACGTGCGTCTCGGAGCACAGGCGGAAGGGCCGAGGTCTGGCCTGTGGGCTGTGGAATGCCATTAGGCTCTATCAGCTTTCGGGCAAGTCCATCGAGAGGGGACGCGACGAAAACGGGGCTTCAGAGGCCGGCTCAGGCAAGGTCGCCACTGGGGTGGCCCCGCAAGTGGCGGGGGGTGTGGGGAGCCTCTGCCACATGCTGTGGCCCTGACCCCGAGGCGCTCAAGTGTGAGGGACGAAAGGCCCTGGCTCCTGGGCAGAGGGCCTGCTCACTGTGACCGGCCAGCCTGCCCCCAGCGGCCTCTGTGTTCTGTCTCTCTCTTTGATGAGGTCACAAACCAGACAGTCTCCTGTGACCACCAGCAGGGCTGTTTCCAAGGGCCCGGAGGGTGGGTGGGGTGGCGGGAGGGCTCAGCCCCGAGGAAGGACAGGAGCAGCGAGGAGACCGAGGCACAGACACAGAGTGGCGGGGCCCACACCAGGCCCAGACTCTCGGGCCAAAGGAGGCCAGTTGCTGACCAGTCTTGGCTCTAAGAATGCACACTTTTCAGTGATGGAGGAAGGAACACTTTTACGGTCATCTGGAGCATGAGGCGTCGGATGACAGGTGAGTCCCCCTGGGGCTCAGGAGAGCCGCCACCCAACCCGAGCGCGTGCAGTGTCAACGGTGGCAGGACTGTCCCAAGCCATCGGTGATGACCAGACAACCTGAGAGCAGGTGCAGGCTTTTGAGAGTGTGTGTCTCAGGTCCACAGCTCAGGTCGATCTCTGTTCACATCCCCAGGGCCAAATAACTGCTAAAGCCCATGCCGGAGACAGAGCCCCTGGCTGACAAGCCCGCCTGGCTGCAAGCGCTCCCTACAGCATCCTGGGGCGGGGGGAAGGATGGGGATCTGGCCAGCTTCTCCTAAAGGAGGCTCTAGCACCCAGGGAAACCAAGGAGGCCTGCGGAAGCCTGTATCCGCAGGACCAGCGTGTGGAGCCGTCTCCTCGGGGCTGGCTCCTCAAACGGGTCTTGGAACCAGGAGGAAGGACATCCCAGGCAGCTGGTCAGACAGTAGGGGTCCCCCTGGCCCAAGGGGGCAAATGACTGCATCTGAACGAGCCTCCAGGTGGCTGCAGAGCCCCGCCTCCTGTCCCACGTCCTCAACCCCAGACACACCACTGAGCACCTCACGCATCGGACTGCTGAAGGGCAACCCAGCTTTCAGACAAGCCCAAGTCGGGGGAAAGTGGCCCTCAGGGTGGGAGGGGGAGGAAAACCAGCCCCCAACTCCCACCCCAGATCAGCTGGCTTGACTCAAGGGTGAAGGCCTCCAGGACCACCCCCCCATTAACACCTTACCAGGTGCAAGCCACACCTGGGTGGGAGCCCCCCACAGAGCAGGCAGCAGGGGCAGAGCGGAGTCACAGGCAGACCTCTGGGGCTGGTGGACAGACAGGGAAGGGAGGAAGACACCCCTCAGACTCCCTACGGCCCGCCCCACTGCTAACACCAAAGCCCACAGAGGCCCAGAGCCGCCGGGCGCCACACCAGGCCTGCCTCAGCCTCCCACGCAGCTGGGAGACTTTTATCCCCGTTTGACAGATAATCACCGAGACACAGCCAGGCCCTGCTCAAGGCCACCACTACTGGCATAAAAGGAGCTCGGCCTTGGGGTCCTCCTGCTGGACAAGAAGCACTCCCGAGACCAGAACCCTGGGACCCACCTGCAGCCAGGAGGGGGTTGGGGACGTGGGCAATCCTCCTCTTCTCTCCGGGGGCTGAGATGTGCACGGAGGACTGCTTCTCGGCCAGTGGCTGGGCAGCCTGGAGCCGGCTGGCTGACTCCCTCTGTGCCTGCTGGGCCCGGCGGTAGCACACCTCCTGGGCAGTCGGGGGACGGGTAGGAGGCGCTGGGCCTCTGCTTGTGGGCTCTGCCTGGGTGACAAATTTCAAGTCCAGACTGCACATCAGAGGTACCCAGAGCAGGCCTCGCAGGGTGTCAGGAGAGGGGTAGTACTGTGGGGCAGGTGGCAGGTGCTCCAGGGCTGGGATGGAGCAGGCCACCTCAGAAGCCTCCTCCTGAGTGTGCAGGGGCCCCGGAGGGAACCAGCTGGTCTTCTGAGTTTGCTGATACCCTGGAAGGAAGCAACTAGCTTCCCCCCAAGTCTGCAGATACCCGGGAGGGAACCAGCTTGGTGCTTCGGCTCTCAAATTCACCATGATGCTTCACTATCCCAGGTCCCTTCCCAGCCCTGCTGTCCTGGATTCTAAGTGCCCAGACTGTGCTCTCAGCCCTTATGTAGACACAGAGCGGGTGGGAACACCGA